ACAAGTCCACGTCATCTCTATCACACACATTGTTGACCCTCTGTTGTGCCCTGCCTAGCAACAACTTCTGTTTTATGCAAATCACATAACACACCGCAGAACTGCTGTCAATGTCGGCGGTGATGATGATGTTTAACAGTAGCAGTTTGGCAGTTTTTCACTGCCGTACAGTGGCAGTTGCAAGAGTATGGTGGATCTGGAGGCCTTGGCTGGCCAGCAGAACAGCAGCAGTGCTCAATGAGATGCTCGTTCTCTTCTCTTCGTTCTCACCTCTGTTGTCCGGTGCAGTCTTGATGACTAATGAGCTGAGGCCAGCAGAAGTGGACACACACACACACACACGCATTCACACTAGCCTGACATTGAATGTTCGTACTGTAGTGGCGGTTGCAGAGCTGTACAACAGCAGAGAGGAAAGTGCACAGCAACTCGATGATCGTTTAGATCGAAGGGAAGAATAGGGGTGGCCGCCCTGTCCCTTTCCCTTTCCCTTTCCTTGTCTTGCCGTTGCCACTGCTAATCAATAGCCTGTAATTGGCAGACAGACAGACAGAAGTCTTCTCCACCTGCTTCCAGGCAGATCTCTTTCTCTCCTTTTCTCTTTTCATTATCCAAAGCACCTTTCTCATTAAGGAGCTCACACGCCTACCCCCTCTCAAACAATCAGCTTATCTCACTTTTGGTGCTTTCGGAAAATGCAGACAATGGTCGTTTTCACTTTCATTATGGAAATGAAGAGAAGTAATAGTTTTTGCTGGAAACTAGACAATTACTCTGCCGCCGCTGTACATTTTCTCCTTCTTTTTCCCTCTCTAATTACTATGATTTTTTATGAGGATTATGTAATAAATCACTACGTCAATTGTTCCGCCACTGGCAGTTGATGGCTGCCGATGGCTGGCTGCCCTTTACAAAATTGCTTTTAGAATATATTTTTTAATATTAAACTTTAAAAAAGGCAGCCATCTGATGCTATCAGTGCTTGAAAATGATTTAGTTCATGCAAAATTATGTGGGAAAGTTTTGAACGTCTATCGTCACTTGGTGTTTGTATTTGTTCACCTTTCGCTACTGTGTTTGTGTTTGTCCATCATGCAGGGAATTGTCGTCAATCCGATGCAATATCATCTTTCATTCAAAATCATTGCAAAATCAACAAATATTGTTTGCCTTGAACAGAGAGTTGTTTGCATTTGCTTCTCTGTTACAGTTTGCAAAGTGTGGAGTCCAAAAGTGATGCAGCAGCTTAGTGATACGTATGCAGGCTTCTTAATTAGTCGGCAAATGGTGCATAGATTAGCGGGATCAATATGCATCTCTAGCAAATGATTAACACAGTACACACTTCATAAATTTTTATGTTTGGAGAAAGTGAAACAAATGACAATGTTTTGTGGCCTTTGAGAAGAGACGAAGATCTCAACAAACTGATGATGATTGATGACGGCCGTAACTATTTTGTTTTTAGCCACAAAAAAACAATAAACACTGCCCAAATCGATTGCAGTCAATTGTCTGCTAATTTGCAGGCCAATCACATTCTCAGACTAACTTCGTGACTCCCCCTTGTCCTCTTCTTCGATTCAGGTGTCAGAGTCTCATCAGCGCGCTTTTACCGTCCTCTTTACCAACTCTCTAATTTCAGTTCTCATCTCTCGCCTCTCTTCTCAGTCCTTATCTTCCCCCGTTCACTTGGCGTCCTTTATCTGCCGTTGCCACCACCGTTAATTGAGTCCTCTCTAAATAGACAGCCGTACCTGTTGCCGTCTCTCTTTCTCAGCAGCAGCTGCAGTGTCCCCCTTTTTTCTTCTTTTTCTTCATCATCTTTTTGCTCATGCCCCCTTTCAGGTGCACAAAGGTGCATTTTGTGTCTCTGAAATGAAATGGGAACTGAAGAGAAGAAACATGAGGCGATCCAAAAGCAGTGGATAGCTTACAGCATGCAGTAGTCGTCGCTTTTAGAATCGCTTGACTAGTTTTTCATAAAGGAATCAATTTGAAAAGAGAGAAAAAGAGAGAATTCGAAATGAATAGAGCCAACTACTGTGATTGAGCATGTGCTTTACTGATTAGATGTAAAAGCGCGGCAGCAAAATGTGGTTTCTGTTTTGTGGTGATTAAATTACCCAGTACCAGACGAGATGGGAAGATGTGATGAATGAAAAGTTTTCTTTCTCCTTCTGACAAACACTTGGGAAAGTTCATTTTTGAAACTAGCAAAGCAAAAGAGGTCCAAATTTAGTTCAAAAGTATGAGAAAGGCTCATCGCCAGCAACAAAAAGTGAGTATCAGCAGAAGTACCAATTAGCTAATTGGCTATCTACTGGTGCACATTTCAAACATGTCTAGACTAATTTAGCGAAAAAGAGAGAGAAAAGCGCGCGCTTGACTGTTCAATAACGATTTTTAATTTCAGGTATGGAAAACGTCAGCGTTACTCTTGCAAACTATTGACCAGGGTAATTCGATTTCGATTTGGGTGAGGACTTCCTTTTCAGTCTGATTAGTCTGATGAGTTTTCTCCCGTTACTTTGACAATAGAATCTTCTTCTCCTCCTACTCTATCAGCTAACTTTTCGGGTCACTAATTCCCTACCTTTCTCTCCCTTTCCCAATCTGTCAGCCAATTGCCTGGGTATTTTGGTCTATTGCCATTGTCAGCAGCAGCTATCCCGCCAGTTGCACCTTCTTCTTCTTCTTCTCTCTTCCAAAGAGGGGAAAGAAAGCGAGTTATAAATTGCCTCCCCTCATTTAATCACCGTGCCCCTTCAATCTCTCCCCCCCCCCTTATCGTTAACCTTCTGTATCTCGTCAGTGTGTGCTGCACATTCGAGCACGACAGCAATCAGCAGAGTACAGCAATGCGACAGCATCACAACTGCCACTTGACTCCACTCGGCGCAATCTCCATCCATCCATGGCCGACGAAAGACGCACACTGAACACACACACTGCCATCATAACTCTCGCCTTCAGGCGACTTCCAATGACTCTCTACGCGTTCACCACCACCTTCTCTCTCTTCATCTTCAGTAAAGGATACTCTTCCCCCACCTTTTCTAAAGACAGACTTCGAACAACGGCCAGGCCGTGCGTATAAAAGGACGACCTTTTCGATTAGGCGCAGGGATTACTCTACGCTCATTTGCAGACACTCAGACGCACTTTTTGTTCGTTGCTGTTGTTGGCCAGCCGCTGTTGAACATTCTAAGTCAGTTCAGTTCAGTTCGAACAACAAGCTCTTCAGCCATGAAGTACATCGCCTCAGTCGCTCTGCTCGCTCTTCTCGCCGGTCTGGTCAGCTGCCAGACAAAGCCAGCGGCGGCACCAGCTGCAACGGCGGCCCCAGCAGCGCCTGCAGTAAGTATCTTGTTTGTGTTTTTTGTTACTTGATCACCTATTTAACCATCCAATCACCCCCAAACAATTTCACCCCTGCAGCCAGTGCCAGTGATCGTCTGGGGCAACTGTCCACAGCTGGAGCCCTCCGAGGAGGACAAGAAGAGCAAGGCCAAGGTCCTCCAGGAGTGTCTGCAGGAGCACCCCATTCCCAAGGAGGTCACCGAAGAGTCCATCGGAAAACGTGAGCAAAGCACAACTGATAACTTCTGCTGAACAATGTCGTTACACTCTCTGTCTTTCTCTTCCAATGTAACAGATCAAGCCAACATCGCCGAGTGCGCTCTGAAGAAGGAGAACTGGGTAAGTTGTGGTGGTGGTGACAATTGTTAAATCAAAATCTTCTAATCATCTTGTCGGCCACAGTTTGAAACTGACGGCAGCTACAAGTTCGACAAGGCCGCCTCTGAGATCAAGAAGAAGAACCTGAGCAAGTCGATGGAGGCGTCACTGCTGACGGCGCACGGCAAGTGCAAGAGCGAGTCCTCGGAGATGGCCAAGGAGCCCAAGATGAAGGGCGCCGCCCGAGTGCAGCAGGTGCAGTTCTACCAGTCTTGCGTAAGTCCTTCTATGCAAACAACATTTCTTATTTTCAACTGACGACATTTTTCGCCATTATCTTTTCTTCAGATGGACTTTCACATCACCAAGGCGTGTGACATCAAGATCCAAACGGCGGCAGCAGCTGCCCCTGCTCCAAAGCCTTAGGTAGTCTTCGTCGTAAGAAACTCGGTCCCACCACTTCCGAATTCCTGCCACGCCCTCTCTCATTTTCTAAAAAATCTCCTCTCTTCTTTTGCTCGCTCGATCCGAAGTGTGTGCTCTTTTGTCTCTTGATGAGACAAAACACATTCGCCCCAGTTCTTGTTGCTTGTTTCGAGCTTGGTCTTGTACTTCTTCGTGCCGTACTTTGCGTTTCCTTACTTTTCCCCAATCAGTTTTAATTCTTAATTCTTGTTGCTTGTTTGATTTGCGTGTACTCACGCTATAAATTGTGATTGATTGATATAACCAAAAGTTCTCCAGTGAATTTAGCTTAATAAAAAAGCTTTCAAATATACTTTTCATCTTCAATTGGTGATGATTTGTTTACTTGCTTGAGCTGATTGAGCAAGTCGATTATTAAACTATTGTGATCATTATGATGAGGTAACAAACAGGTCCTGTGAATCAATTGCCAGTGTTCACACTCAATTAATCAGTGAGCAATCTATTTCTAGACACACAGACAAATGTCAATGTTGCCTGGAGAATCCCCTTCGATGTCGATTTCATCAAGTTGACAATAGTTCGCTTAATAGCTACTTCAATGAGCTGCTTTGTTTGCATAATCCAGTAATGGTAATTACCAATGAAAAAAAAGTGCGGCGTGTAACGATCTTTCCAGTTGGTTGATCACCGTGAAATGACAACTCTTGTACAAATGACTGAGTCAATCTGGCTCGGTCATGAATGGTATGTTTGCAATTTTTTAAATGTTTACAACCAACTTCAAGATACAAATACACTACTGGAGAGAGAGAAAGAGATTCTCGATTGTTATACCTAAGAAAAAGTAAGTAAAAAGTAGAAAAATATAGAAAAACAGAAAACGCTTTCATTTATGGCTGCATGCGAAGGGCGCCATCAAGACGGATCACCTCGCCGTTCAGCATTGGATTCTCAATGATGCTCTGCACCAGGTGGGCGTACTCGTCGATGTTGCCTTCACAGGGGGATAAAACGAAATCAATTAGAAATGCTGTTTGACAGCGATTATCATCATCAAGACAATCATTCACTCACCGAGACGACTGGGACAGGGCACCGTCGAGGCGAGGTTCTTGCGCACCGTCTCCGGCAGCGACCCCAGCAGAGGCGTGTCAAAGAGTCCAGGGGCGATGGTGACGCAGCGAATGCCCTGCGTGGCCAGGTCACGGGCAATGGGCAGTGTCATGCCGACGACGCCTCCCTTCGAGGCCGAGTAGGCCACCTGGCCGATCTGCCCGTCAAAGGCGGCCACCGAGGCGGTGTTGATCACTACGCCGCGCAGCGTATTCACCGGCTCATTGCGACCGATCAGGCCCACCGCCAGGCGGGTGACGTTGAAGGTTCCCACGGTGTTCACCTCCACCACTCGCTTGAACTCGTCCAGCGGGTGGGGAATCTTGCGGCGAAAGTCGTAGGCGCGCTTGGCAATGCCGATGCCGGCGCAGCTGACCACGGCGTCCAGGCGGCCGAACTTCTTCTCGCACTCGGCCAGGGCGCGGTTGACGTCCTCCTCGCTGGTCACCGAGCCGGTCACCGCCACCAGATTGTCTGCAGAGGAGCCACCGCCGTTGGGGAACTTCAGATCGAGGGCGACCACCCCCTTGGCGCCTTGGGCGATCAGGCGCTCGACGACGCCGCGACCGAGACCCGAGGCGCCGCCGGTGACCAGCGCCACAATGCCCTTCACTGACTGAATGGTGGTGGCGGTTGTCATGATGATGTGGTGGTGGTGGTGGTGATAAGTGGATCGAGAGTAACACCAAACTGTGTGTGTTTTGGCACGATGAGACGATGATGATCGCACGGGAGACAAATGTACCGAGATCAATCTTCTTTCTCCGACAGCAGTAAACAGAAGGTTTTCTTCTTTTCATCAGGCAAACATGTGCTTTCCCTTTCGTTTTCTCGTCGGCAGATGGCAGCTTGAATTACACTTTTGAATTTTGTATGAAAGCAAATTATTAAAAGTTTCACGAAGTTTCGTCAGACCTTTTGATGAATGAAAGTTACTGTTTATACTTTAATTACAATTAATACAAGTGAGTGTATAACTTGAAAATTAACTTTTAATATGTGGCTGAGGATGTGGCGGCGACTGTGTCNAAGTGGATCGAGAGTAACACCAAACTGTGTGTGTTTTGGCACGATGAGACGATGATGATCGCACGGGAGACAAATGTACCGAGATCAATCTTCTTTCTCCGACAGCAGTAAACAGAAGGTTTTCTTCTTTTCATCAGGCAAACATGTGCTTTCCCTTTCGTTTTCTCGTCGGCAGATGGCAGCTTGAATTACACTTTTGAATTTTGTATGAAAGCAAATTATTAAAAGTTTCACGAAGTTTCGTCAGACCTTTTGATGAATGAAAGTTACTGTTTATACTTTAANTAGTGGATCGAGGTAGACGGATTCACCAAACTGTGTGTGTGTTTTGGCACGATGAAAAGATGATGATCGTACGGGAGACAAATGTACCGAGATCAATCTTCTTTTTTCTGCGACAGCAGTAAACAGAAGGTTTTCTTTTCATCAGGCAAACATGTGCTTTCCCTTTCGCTTTCTCATCGGCAGATGGCAGCTTGAATTACACTTTTGAATTTTGTATGAAAACAAATTATTAAAAGTTTCAAGAAGTTTCGTCAGACCTTTTGATGAATGAAAGTTACTGTTTATACTTTAATTACAATTAATACAAGTGAGTGTATAACTTGAAAATTAACTTTTAATATGTGGCTGAGGATGTGGCGGCGACTGTGTTCACGAGGCTCCTCGAGCACTCTGCAAAGGATGTGGAGTACTGAGTGGCATCCACGGCTCACCAAAAACTTCTGCCACTCCCACTACTGTTCCTTGGTGTGCAGCAGGTATCGATTGGAGAGGATGAGGCCGACGTTGGCTCGCTTCGCCTCATCAGGGTGCAACATCGCCTCGATCAAACGAGTCGCGTCAGAGGGCAGCTTCTTCGAGTAGCGGGACTTGATAAATTTCGGGTAGTCCTTAATCTCACACAGCATCTGCTTTCGGTCCTTGTAGTGGAAGGGAAAGCGGTCAAAGAGCATTATGAAAAACGTCACGCCCATGCCTAGAAAAAAAATAGTTTAGTCAGTAGAATTAATCGTAATTAATTGGAGCACTCACTCCAGATGTCCGCCTTGAAGCCATTGTACGCCTTGTGCTCTAAAATCTGCGGGCACTCGTAAGGCAGGGTGCCACTGAGCAAAAGTGTAAGTTTGTTTATAAATAACCACTCAATAAAATTACCAAAAAGTGCTACTGAGGATGACCGAGTTTCGCTGCTGATCAAAAATTTGCTTGGCAAAACCAAAGTCGGTCATCTTGGAAAAAATAAAAATTAATTATACAAATTCTTACTTAACCTCTCATACCTTGGCAATGTAGTTTGCGTCAAGCAGTATATTGTCAAGTTTGATGTCTCGGTGGCAAGTTTTGAGAATTTCGTGCAGGTAAGAGAGACCGGAAGATGCTTGGAAAAACCACTTGCATGCCAGGGGCTCGTTGATGCCTTTGTGCTTCTTCGCGTACCCAGATAAGTCCCCGTTACCTGCAAATTCCATAAAAATAAACTCGAAAACGGAAGTTTAAATGGAGTTTAAACCATGGTTAATCATCATTTGGACATCCCAAAAAAAGTTTGACTTATAAAAATGAACTTACCATCTTGTTATCGGCTCGGAAGATGTCGTACACCTGAATGAGGTTTTCATGGCGACAGTCGATCAGCGTACTGATCTCTCTGGGCAGGTACTTCTCACGACTGCGCTCACTCATCTTCATCAGGTCGATCACCTTGACGGCGGCAAACTGGCCATCACGGTTGACGGCCTTGTAGACGACACCAAAGGCGCCTTGGCCCAGTTTGTTCTCTACCTTGTAGCCTTTGTGTGCAAAAACCGCTGTTATCTTGCCCTCAAAAGTGGACGTTTTTGAGTTTGAGGAGTTGTTGGTTCGGGAGTTCACCATGGCCGTCCTTTTGTTGAGAGGAATGAATGATGAAGCGAATGAGATTTAGCAGCAACGAGTCACACTAAAAGTTGCACGTCCCTTCAAAAAGACTAGAATAATGGCTAAAAGTGGATCATTTTATAGAACGTGGCAAGTACTAAACTCCATCCACAATTCAAACTAAGATCAAAAGTTCTAAACTTCAACAAAGTTCGAAAATCCGATCTGTATGCCTAATCGTAGATGGCGCCAAAAACACAAAACAAAATAAAAAAACTTAAAAATAATTTTTGCAAGTTTACTTTGATGAACTTCATAGTTTTAGTTTCACTTTTAGACAAACAAATCAAATAAGTCATTAAATTTTTCATGATAATTGTTTTTATAATAATTTATAAAACACAACATTTTTCAAAACAAAAAAATTGTACAAGAGAATCAAATAATAAATTCAGGTAAAGTAGTATAAGGTAGAGAGGGTATAGTGATCATATGTTTAAGTATAAATAATATAGAAATGTGTGTATATTTAGAGCAAATAAAAGAGATTATTATGTATAGAATATGTATAGAAAGTACAATGGTGGTGGTTTTGAACATATCAGGGAGACTTATGTACAGAACAGTGTATAGTCGTGCTGAAGGACATCAGTTTGAGGTTGTAGAGATTGGTGTCTAATGAAATAGTAGTAAATTTGTAGAAATTGAAAGAGAGAAAGAGAATCAGGTGGTGATATCACAACAAATACATCAAATGGACTCCAACATGAAGTGAAGTGAAAAGTGAGATGAGAAAGAGAGAAACAAAGCAGTGTTCCGCTTAGAAAAAAAGTAGTAATCAACCAGCTCTGAAGCTTTAGCTTGCTGGTAGTTGGTGGTAGGTTTGTTTGTCAACTTGCAGACCAGAACTGCTCGAACAGAAAACAGTCCAGTCTGCAGGAAGTTTATTCACAAGATATGACACAGAAAAAAATGGAAAGAAAAATGAAAGAGAGAGAGAGAAGTAAAAAGAGAATCAAAAACGATATTAAACGTAGGAAACGAACGAAGGGGTGTGGCAGGCGACGACACTGAAAACAGTGCCTGTGCCCTGCAAGCTAGCACGACAATTGGCAGTTGTTTGTAGCTTGGTGGAGAGAGAGAAGGCGTCAAAAGAAGGTTAGAAAACTGTGTGTGGGTGTAAATAATATAATAAAATAAGCTAACAGGTAATATTTTATAAAAACGGGTTAAAAGTGATAGTAGCAAAGTGGATGTGTTTTATAATAATAATAAGTAAAAACTAAACACTATTCAAAAACAAAAATGGTCATAATAAAAAGTAGTAATGTAATAAGGTAAGATAATAATAGTAAACACTAAAGCTAGTGGAAGCTCAAGAGGAACAGGTGGCGAAGTGGCGTCTCCAGTGGTAGAACGGCTGGTTTTGCACGCCCCCACACCGGTTCTCACTCTAAGCCCAGAAAATGGCCGGCAGTTTCAGTGTAGCTTGTGTAGAGAGCAGTGGTGATAAGCTTGGATTGGTAGTATTCACAAAAGGGAAGGAAGGGGTGTGTGAGTGTGACTATGTACAAAGTGTTTGGGTGTGTGTTCACAGGGATGAAAAGGTGGTGGAGGAGGTGCTGGGTGATACGATCATTTAGAGAAAGAAAGAGAAAATGTACAAAAGATGTAGAAGAGATAGAGAAGATAGAGAAGATAGAGTGAGAAAGGGGTGGGAGGAAGGAGAGAGAAGGAAGAGAGACCAGAATTTGACTCGAAGAAAAAAGTGTGTAAGTGAAAAGAATAAGAGAGAGAGTCTGGTGGGTGTTTGCTAGAAGTGCTGATAAAGGAAACGAGAAAGAGAGATCCAGACCAGAAGAGTGGCAGAGTAGTCAACAAGATTGACTTTATCGAAAAAGAAGTAGGAGAACAGCAGCACGAACAACACAAAATCATAGGCAGAAGAGAGGGTATTTTATCTCGCCTCGGTGGTGAATCTCGGATGATGGCGAGAGAGATGCCGGTTTTTGTGTACTGTGTTGAGCAAACGTGGAAATCAATCATGTCGTGGGGTGGTGGTGGTGATGATGAAGGTAGTAGATGCACTTTCCAGTAAAGAGGGGCAGTGTGAACTCCAGTTCATCAGCAGTGAATATAGAAGACTAGTGTGTGTGTACAAAGTGTAAAAGGCTTAAAAATGAAGAGAGGGCACGTCATGTTTTAGGAAAAGTTTCCGTGTTTGAGTGAAAGAATATGATCAATAAGTTGGGGGAGAGGGTTAGTTTGGGTAACTAAGTAAGGCAGTCATCAATTCAAGTGAATGGATGGATTTGGATGAGAAGTAGCTTCCTGGTGGGACTCCCAGTTCACTGCTCCACCTTCATGGCTCCTCCCAAGGCGAGAATGGCCGTTCCATTGCTGGGTCCGTTGGCCATTGAGGAGGGCGGCATGACGACGCCGTTGATGGACGCCACCACCACTGGTGGACTGCTGCTCGCTGACCTGCTGCCGTTGCCTCCATTGCTACCGTTGCCACCATTGCCTCCGCTGCCATTGGGCAGACTGGAGCCACCATTGGCTGTCCCATTTCGGTGCTCGTAGCTGTTCATCTGCTGGTGGTGGTGGTGAAGGTTGGCCGCGGCGACGGCCACCGCCGCCGCTGCCGCCGCCTGGTTCAGGTGGCCCAGGTGGGCGGACAGGGCGTGGTGGGCAGGCACTGGAGGAGAGGGATGACTGGCCAGTCCGGGAGAGTAGTGGCCGTTGGCGGTGGCCGCGGCGGCTGCTGCTGCTGCAGCCGCGGAGATAGTGACCGAGCTGGAGTTCATGAGGAAGGGCACGTAGAACATCTTCGACTGGAGGAGGAGGTTGGCCGCAGAGCTGACCTGTCCGAGGCAGCTCAGCAGCGAGTTCATCCTCGCCAGCACCTGAGCGGTGGTCGGCCCCAGCGGGCCGCCGCCGCTGTTGGCCGCACTGAAGGTGACGCCGCTGAGAAGGGCTGAACCGCATGAGCCAGAGCCCAGCGGCGGCTTCTTATGCGCCAGGTGGCTGACCAGCGCCTTCAGGTATCGGTCCCTGATGAGCAGCACCGACGCCGGGTCGGCAATGTCTGGCTGGGGGACCTGGGCGGCGGCTGCTGCTGCTGCCGCCTGACTATTGGGCGAATCACGTTGTGCCGCTGCCGCCGCCGCCGCCTGATGCTGCTGAGCGAGCTGCACGTAAATACTGGTCATGGCAATCACCTTCAGCGCGACAAACTCATTCAGCGTCAGGCCGATGGACTTGAAGGCGAAGCGCACCGAGCAGAGCTCCGAGACGAGCGAGCCCGCCTCTGCCTCCAACTGCGCACAGGTGATGTGCTGATTGGAGCTGGTCAGACTGAGGTGGCCCAGGTTGGCCGCCAGGTTGTTCATCGACTGGCGAATCTCCGTCTCCAGCGACTCGATGCAGGCGGTGTTGCTGTTGATGGCGCTGAAGGCGCACGTCGACAGCACCAGAAGCTCGTGCCACTTGTGCGTCAGCAACTGTGGGGGAGGAAGGAGAAAGAGAAAGGGAATAAAGGTTAGTATAAAGATTCAATAACCCGTTCACTTGTTAGTAGTTGCTGACATGACAATATCATTGTTGAGCATAAATAGCACCAATTGACATGTTGCGACGTGTAGACAAATATCTGCTAAGCTCTCCTCTTAGTTATAATACACTAATTAGGCCTTCCGCTTGAGCAAACATGGCAGATTCAATGGCACATAGCACATAGTTCATGTCATCTGTGTTTGCTAATAAGTAAGGCAGTCTCGCTTTTTTCTACTTAAGCATCACCTATTGGCACCTGTCAATCTTTGCCGCCTAGTCGATCAATCATAAACACCGCTACAATGGCCGTGCATCCAGTCTCTCTCTCTCTCTCTCTCTCTCTCTCTCTCTCTCTCTC